GCAGAGCCGCGGCCGAGGAGGGCCAGGCCACACAGATGTCTGGCACAGGCAGGGAGCTGGCAGCGAGCACAGCCACACACACAGCTCCTCTCTCACCACTCTACTCTTTGATCACCACAGAGAACACCAGAGAGAAACATTCAGCAACACACGCGGCTCCTGCACACTATGAGAGGTCCATGTGTAGGACACTGTGGCACGGGGAGGGCACAGCCAGCCTGTGCCACACAGGGGGTGTGACCTGGGGCCCTGCCTCTGACCAGCTGAAACCCCCAGGGAAGCACGGCAAGATCCTCGACCCCCCCCTGCTCCGGGCCCTCCCGGGAACCCCACGCAGACCATGGGCAGGTGGCCGTTACCTGAGCTGTCCTTGGCTCCCACGGGTCTGAGCTTGGGAACGCCGCCTTGGAATAGGCCACCCTTGGGCTGGATGGCAGCTGAGCCAGAGCTGTAGTTGCCGCCGCCACTGCCCTTGGGCTCTGGAAGGAGGGAGGCAGAGAGGTTAAGCCTGGAATTATCCGCTCCTCCAATGAGGAGCTGCTGGGAACCAGATGGGTGAGAGCCCTGCTGGGCACAGCAGCGGCCGGCACGGGGCCGGGAGGCCCTGGGGGACTCACTCTCGAGGATGGGCGCGCTCCGGTCGTTGATTTGGGTCACTTTCCTGAGCTTGGTCCCTTTACAGATGTCCTGCAGGAGGGCCCCGCGGCCCCGCTGCTCCTCCCGGCTCAGCTTGGGTGGCTCCGTGTTCGCCTGGGGACGAGCAGCAGCTCAGCACCTGCCCTGGACACCCCGACCCACGGCACAGCCCCACTCCATGTTCCCACCTCCCGGGGCACCCGCAGCCAGCCTTCTCCAGGGCCAATTCCTCTGGCAAGTGGCCCCATGAGGGGACAGGCCACCTCCCCACCTGTCACAAGGTGACCCCTACCTGACCGAGGGTGGGGGGCGGCGGGGGGCCGGGGGGCGGCGGCGGGGGAGGAGGGATCGGCATCCTGGCCTGGCTCCCGGCGGCTCCGGTTGCTCAGTGCTGGGGGCAGGCCTGGGCACTCATGCCTGCAGGAAGGGAGGAAGCGGTCAGGGAACGGAGGGGAAAGCCTGCGGAGAAACATGGCCCCGGGGCGCTGTGCTGGTGCTGAGCTGGAGCTTCTGTGGAGCAGCAGCTGGATCTGAGCTCCCACGTCCTCCCAACACCCTGGAGCAGCAGGTCCCAGAAGTGGGACAGCACATCCCCACCCCAAATCCCCAGGGCCCCGAGAGTGCCTGGAGATGACACCCAGGACGTGTCTCACACGAGCACCTCGCTCAGCAGAGAAAACCCAGCCAAGCTGCTCCAGCACCATCCATCCAGCTCCTCCAGCTGCAGCTGGAGAATGCTCACGTGGGAATGTGACAGGAGCCTGCAGGAGGCACAGCCAGCCCTGGCACACGGCCCCGGGGCCTCTCCGGCCACAGCCAGGGTAAATCTGCCAGACGGCTCCGTCTCTGGAGCAGCCGGAGCAGTGCAGGGCTGTCCTGTGGCTCCCAACCACAGCATCAATAACCCCCCAACATTGAAGGCTCTCTGCACCCCACAGCTCCAAAGCCCCCACCAAAGCTCTCCAAGCAGTCAGGGAAACCAGCTTTCCCAGCATGGATCTGATGACATTCCAACCCATCTCATCACGAGCCCAAAACGAACCTGGCACCGTGGCTCCCCTGGAACAGCTCCTGGGGCCCGGCAGCTCCGTTTGGCACTGGAGACGGAGCACAGAGGGAGGGGGGGACAGGAAGAGGAGCCTGAATCACCGGGAAGTCACAGTTCCCTGGCAGACTCGTGCTGCTGACAACAGTGCTCAGGTAGGGCCGTCCTGCAGCACCGGCTCAGGGAATAGGAATGTGGTGACTGGAGGCCCCACATGGAGAGTCCCAGGTGCTCGGGGCAGACCCAGAGGCAGGGGACAAATGTCCCTCTCTGGGCCACAGACATCCTTCCCTCAGGAAAACCTATTCCACAGTCACTAACAGGGACCACAACGCCAACAGGAGGCAAGGACAGGGCAGTTTCACACCTGAAACTTCCCATTTCTGACCCCGAGGGCAGTGACAGAGGGCACAGGAACAGCCCCTGTCCCCGTGAAAGTTCCTTTGTGACCCACGTTTGTACCAGGTATTAACAACTAGATCCCTGGTCAAACTCATCTCCTGCTGGATAAACTACAATTTACTGATCCTGTGGGACACAGGTCCATCCTCACCTGTCAGAGAACGGGAAGCACGGAGCAGCAGCACAGCTGTGATGCCAGTGGCTCCCCTGCCCTTGGGAAACCACCGGCTCCGTGGTTCAGGGAAATAAATAAATCCATAAACTGCCTTTTAATTAAAGTCAGCCCTTCTACCCAGTGAGAATTCCTCAGCTACAGCCTTGGTGGGAAGGCCTTCCTCCCTCCATCTCCTGCATTTTCCGAGTCACCTGAGGCTCCCAGTTTCCTGATGGAAGTGCCCTCCACTGTCAAGTCCCAGCCTGAGGCCTCACGCCCAAGAGCCAACGTCCCCCGATCCCTCCGGACGCTCCAGAATCAGGAATGACGCCCGGCAAACGCATCCAGCCTGTGCCTTTCCCACCGGAGCAGGATCACAGACGGCTCCGAATGTGCTTGTCTGGGACGAGTTGGAACAGGAATGCTTTTCCCTGTGCTCCTTCCCACCCCGCAGTGGGGCCGGGACGGCACGAGCTGCTCCGGGGCAGAGCCCCAGCCGTGCCGGATCAGCCGCCGGAGGGAATTAGCAGGGATTCAGCGCCAGGTAATGAGACTCCTGACTCGGGCTCGTGTGTCACAGCCCTGAGCCAGCACAGGAGCCGCGCCAGGGCCGTCACCTCCGCTCCCGACCCACGGGAACGTCACACATCACGTCCCTGCTCCAGCTGGTTACTCCCAGGGTGACACTTCCCTCGGTGGCACTTGGGGTCACGGGAGCTGCTGTGACAGGGACACACCATCCCACGGACAGACAGACAGTGGTTTGTCACAGGGTTCCCCCGTGGGCCCTGCTGACCCCCAGACACCCTGTGACAAGTGGAGCAGCTCCAAACAATCCCACAAGGACAATCCCACAGGGGCAATCCCACAGGACTTGTAGGACGAGGGGGGTATTTCTCCAAACAGACCACGAGTCACCATCTCCCCATTTTTAGGGTGCCCTCACAGCAAAACCTGCGCTCAGATCCAGGCTCTGACCTAGAAGAGCAAGAGGAGGGGAGGGAAGAGTTTAAGCTAAAGCAGCTTGAGGATAAACTGGAGCTGAATTCCTGAGAAACAGGTCATTCCGTTTGAGCACACGGCCCCGTTAGGGCTGGGGATTAACAGCAAAGGTCACTTTGAAAAACCAAAATCGAGAGGCCCCGAACTCGGCACATGGCTGGGAAAAGCTGAGAGCTCCGGGTGGGAAGGCTGCCTTTGAAATACAGCCTGGACCTTTCATGTGCAAGAAGACAGACCCAGCTGATACAGATTAGGGAGACACAAGCTAAATCCTCCAGGAAAAGAGAAAAGGGGGGAGTTCTCCTCCCAGCACTGCTCAGCACCCCTTCCTGCCTGGCAGAAGCCATCCCTGTGAAACAACACTCCAACTTCTCCTTTGTTCTTCCTTACCAGGATCCTTTCACCAAGACACATCGGAGCCTGCGAGAGCTCCCACTGCTCACAGGGAAAGTGGTTGGGAAGAGCTGAATCCAGAGACACCCGCAGATCAAAGCTGGGCTGAGGCAGGAGGGGCAGGTTTGCACAGTGCCTTTGCTTTTCCAATCCAAACCAAACCCCAGGAGAGCTCTGAGCAAAGTGTGAGGAAAACAAGGTGTGAAAAGCTGTCCCCTGGGAGGAGGGAGAGATCAGGAGATTGAGGTGACCCTGAGGAAAGCTGCTTCCAGAGCTGCTGCTCCACGGGCTGGAGCCCAGCACAGCCACAGACCCCTCGGCAGCGTTTTGGATCAGCACCTCCCTGTCACCTCTGGGATCAAAACACCATTAAATCCCAAGAATTTGTCATTCAGCTGCCCCTTGTCCCCTAAAACAGCTGGATTAGGCAGATCTGGCCCGGCCAGGGTGACACACCACATTTTCCAGGTGTTTTTCAAGTCCCCGTTTGCCGTGGAGGGATTTAAAACGCCCTCCCCGGCAGCAGCCCGGATCCAGCTCATCCCGGGGGATTGCTGCTGGGGCAGGACAGGCAGCAGTGACCTTCAGCCGCCTATTTCCTCGCTTTTCAGGGGGATTTGGGCTCCGGGGCGGATTTGTATTTCTCATTTGCAAGCCCGAGCTGCAGCGCCTCATCCTCAGGGAGGCTTTGAACTGCAGATCAAGAGGAATTTCCAGCCTCTGATGTCGGTGCAGAAATGCGGCCGCACCGGTTTGGGAACGACTTCCAAGGCTGGACCTCTCCAGCACCCGCCCCCGCGCCTTTATCTTCCCCCTCTTCCCATCCAAACCCGCAGCTCCTCGCTACCCCCTCCCAAATTCCGGGCCTGTCCCTGCAGCCTGACATTCCTGCCCGCTCCCGCGGAGCCGAAGATGCCACATAAATAATTTATCCTGAGCGACAGCCATCGCAGGATTTAAGGTCACTCAGGCTTTTAAAATCCTATCAGCATGCTTCCCGAGCGCGAGCTGCCAGCTCCATTTGGAGCATCCCGCCGAGCCGGCGCATCCCTGCCTGCAGACAGACGGACACGCTCCGGCCCCCGCGGGATCCAGACGCTCCCTGTGAATTATTAACGACCCGCGGGCTCTGACGAGGCGTTTTTACCAAAACCCCCAACTCTGGAGTTTCTCATTCCTCAGGGGTGGGTTCCACAGCCTCGGTTTCCCCGTCCGCAGCTTCCACAGCCTCCGTTTCCCATTCCCGGCCTCCAGCCTCAGTTTCCCCATCCACAGCTTCCACAGCCTCCATTTCCACAGCCTCAGTTTCCCCATTCCCAGCTTCCAGCCCGTTTCCCTTTCCCAAGCTTCCAGAGCCTCAGTTTCTCCATTTCCAGCTTCCAGCC